CTGCGAACTGGTTTAATTTGGGCAAAAAATTCAAGAGACATTTTTTTTTAGAATGAAACAGGCTATCGGAAATAAATTTTTAAATGGTAAAAAAATAATAAGACAAAAAATTACGTTGGAAATAAATTTTAGGGGTTGCGTTTTCCACCCCTTACAACCATGGGGTAAACCAAATAAATTACTGGCTAAGTGTCTTTTTGGTAGTAGAAAATGTCAGGTTAATTTCAATATTGTAACTTGTTTAGTGCTTGTGAAAAAAATTGTTAAACAAATTTTATGTACCCCCTTTAAGGGGCTGTATCTTAACAAGGGATGCTCCAATGAAGTTTCTTTATATGAAAGATCCTATCTTTTTTTCGATGAGGAATCACCCCCTTAAATGTTTTACTTATTTAGTTACACCCTGTATAATCATTGTTGGAACAAATTTTGAATGTTTAAACAAATTGAATACAATGTACAAAACTATATAAATTTGAGTAATATTCATTAATAGAATAAAGAAAAATACGAGAAAAGTAAAGCAAATTAAAAAGTAGTTACCTACTATTTGATTAATAATAAGTTTAGCACACGTTTTGAAGTGCGCACATAGTGAAATTATGTTTTGTTATATCATATTGGAGCCATTAAAGCAAAAATTAGCAATACTATATAAAACATCTTACATGGCTGTTTTGAAACAGATCACGCCTGGTCTAATATCCATTGTACTAAATTCACCTACAAGATAACCTACAACGTGAAAATCTAAAAGGTTTATGGCAATTGAAAAACAAAAAATTGAGAAAAAATTTTAGGTTGCAAATAATATAATGAATTAAATAAGAGATAAATGCAAAATGGTTTTAGATTATATTAGATCAGTATTAGATTATAGTAGGATTAGATAATTCACTACCCTCCTCACAAGCAATATATTAACACTTTATTTTTGTGATTTCTCAGAAAATCATATTGTATCGACTTAAAAGAATTTCATGTTTATTAAGAGGGTTAAAATTAGGGTGTTTAGTATTTTTTTTTTCACTCACTGTTAGGGTTAGACTAAAATTAGCGACTTACCTCACCACCTCTTTCATGTAACTCTAAATAGGCTTTGACGTACATTAAGTTTAAACAGTCTGGATATTCCTCCAAAGCATTCTCCACAACTGTCAATGCACACTTATGTTGGCGTTCTGCCGTTAACAATAAAACCAATAAATGTAATGTTGAGGAATGTTCTGGATGAAGATCCAAGCCTATCCTTATGTGCTGCTGGGCTTCCGTAATATGTCCGATAATTGCCAACTGCAATCCCAGGTAATACCGACAGAGATGATCATTTGGTTCTAATTCAACAGCACTAAAACACATTTTGTTTTAATAAGCCATTCTGATCTTGTTTTCTTTTCGTTATTTGTCACTGTCTTGCTACGTGAGATCCTAAATGACATTTCAATGAAAATTGAAATTTTTTCTGAAAGAACCAAAACAACTTCTGATATATCACAATTTAAATTTATACTGTTATATCTGTAAAGTATCAATAATTGTCATATCTATAGAAATTTACATATTTGTAGGTCGGTTGGAACGGGTAGAAGATGAAAACTCCTACAAGTAATTTTTTTAATAACTTTTTCTATTGCTACTTTATATAGCCCTGATTTATTTGACACATATTTCATCCCTTCTATTTTTTTCATAAATTTAATAATTTTTGAGCAACCATTATGTTACAATAATATCCGGTTGTTAGACGGTTGACAGTTAAAAATTCTAAATATTATTGAGTTTACTTTGAGTGCCTTTTTTGCAAATTTGATTAATTTAATCAGTATGCAAAACTACACTAACACCGAAACAACAGAGGTGTATTCTGTTTATGATCTTGCCACTGGTAACAGCAAGAAGCATCTCGAATTTACATTGAAATCCTCCTGTATTACTCCTCATTTCACCTTGTTTGCACACCTTCATAAATGATCTGAAACTGGAATTTTCTTCTGATTGAACAATGCAAAATTGTAACATTGGTTTTGGAGGAAGTAGGTAGTGTTGAATTTGATTTTCTCTGCAGTTAAATATCAACCACATGGGAGTATGGGCCATTTTAAAAGAAGTTTTATATCTCTTTTACATATCAGAGCCCTGGTTTTTTAACACAAGATTATTATTGTATTCTGGAAAAAATTGGGCAAGATCTTGACACAGATCTTGTTTCCCTAAGAAGTCAATTTTTCAGAAAATCACACACCTTAGCAAAAAATCGATATGTCTTAGCAGAAGTTCATCAACAATAACAATTTTCTCTGAATATGTGCATTGAAATTGTTGAAGACTACAACTGTCCCACAATTTCTGCCGCCTAGATTGAATATATCACTTTCTCCAAGAAGTTCTAGTTTTTTTTGAAGATATACTTCTGGATGTCAGAGCTCAACTTTGGTTTATTTTTGATCAGTCTCCTGCCCATTTTAGGGTAAAAGCATGACAGTATTTAAGTGAATCATATTCAAATCATTGGATAGGCCATGGTGGACCTCAGTTGCGGCCTCCTCGCACACCTAATTTAAATACTACAGATTTTTGTACTTGGGGTCATTTAAAAACCTTAGCATAGAAGACACCTGTGCAATAATATAAAATTCAGAAACTGCATTATTAATTCATGTGTGGTAATTAAAAGTTATCTAGAAATTTTTAACCAAACATGTGAATCAAAGCTTCAATACACGGAATTACCTGTGGAGGTAATCTCCAATATTTATTATAACATTTTATGGTTTTCCCTTTATATTTAAGGTTTTTTTCTATTTATTTTCATTCATATAAACGTATTTTTATTGTAATAAAAATATTTTTTGCTTAAAAACTATTATATTTATGAAAAAAACCGAAGAGAACAAATTTGTTTCACATAAAGAAATTTTTAAATGACTATATTGGCAACAGAAAAAAAGTGATGTAAGCACTTGTAACTTCTTGCCCGTGATTTTTTGAAAATTTCTCGATAATGAAGGAAAAAATAAAAACTAAATTTCTTTGTACCTGTTTGAAAAACAATAAATCCACAGAGAAAGGATTCAGTTTTTATTTATATGAAAGACTCCTTAATTTCAATGAGGAATCGCCTCCTTAATTTGTTCACATTATTTATTTACATTCTGTATTGTGCGTAAAAAAAGTTATATGAAGCATTCAAAAGCAATGCCTAGAAGCTCTACATTCTCTAGATATCGGGTGTTGAATTTTACATCATTAAGAATATCTCTGAAGACATTTGATGTGGAAAGTTAAAATTTAAGTATAAATGTAATATTGAAGAACCTGAGAAATTTATTGGATTTGAAATTTTCCATGTTTTTGGTGCTCCCTACCGAAATGTGAAATTTCTACACCAATGATATTTTCAAGTTCTTCATGGATTTAAAATCATATCTAGATTTTTTTTTTAATAAATGCAGTTGTAGATAGTGCTTCAATGGTATTGTGCATTGAAAAAATAATTACTCAAAAATGATCCAGTTTTTTTTAAACGTAGATTCTTTTTCTTGAAAATACCGCTAGTAATTACAATCATCAAATTTCCAAAATACCTGGTGGTATCAAATTTTTAAAATTTTTATTTTTAATCACATAAATGTTTAGGTTAAATTTTGTCATTCTATGTCAAATTTCCTTAAAGATATTTCAAAAAATGAATCTTGAAAACGAAGTGTTTCCAGACATGCTGAATCGAACCAATTAATTACCTTCGAAAATTGTCTAACGAACGGCATCTTAGCTCTTCTTTTTCCTTCTTAAGTTGGCATGACTCCGCTTGCAAATGGTATCCGATACCAATATATAGGTGAGATCTACCAAGAAGATCTGAAGATAATGCTAGTGCTTTCTCCCTAGCGTCCATACTAAAATTTGTTCCTTAAAATGCACGATGAAAGCATTAACAAAAAAAAATTGCTGATAATAATTTACTACAAATGCTTATAATATCTGAGTAGAAAGCGGAAAATCATAGATCAAAGGAATGTAATTTAAAAAAAATTAGCTACACATTAATTAAACTGATCTGGCAATTGAACGAAATAAATGATCCCTGCGCTAAGCAGGTTCAGATATTTATATTGACAGTAAATTTTTAACATATTTTCTTTATGCAAATACTTTAAATATCCACTTCTTACCTTCTACTGCTAGATTAAGATGTTCATAACATAATTTTGCGGCTAGGAGACAATTACTTGGATTATTTGGCTCCAATCGTATAACCTCTTTTAGTACAGATAAGGCGTGATTGTAACTATTGATAGCTAACAAACTTAGAGCGTATTGTTTCCATAAATGCGGCTCTTCAAATGAAAATTTCATTGCTCTTTCAAGTGACTGAAATAATGTGTATAATATTTAAATCTAAGTAATTTAACAAGATGAAGTAAATTTAAGAGAAAATATTTTAAGATCTAGTGTATCTCATTTTGGAAATTGCATCTGTCCATGATATGAATATTACCTCTTGTAAAAGTGCAATTTGGCCCCATCTAACGGTAGCTACAGCTAGCAAATCGTATACTGTTGTCGCATCTTGATATGCGCTTAATCTAATTTCTTTAAATTCTGGGGATTGAGATAAAACCGCGTTTCTCACAGCCATAGATTCCGCTACTAATAATAATAAAAGAGTTTCCTCACATTCATTTCTCGGAATAAACTGAAAAATGTTCGGTAGGTGATAAAAAATTAAAATTTATAAACTTGAAAGTGATCAAACCTGATTAAGGGAAGCGTAGTATTTCGGCTTCCAAAGCGAACTCTTTGGACTAGAATTCAAAGGCGGTTTGTATTTCTCTCCTACTAATCCTTGGAGCAACAATTCAGCCATTTGGCACATGAATTTCAAACGAATATTATGTATTCCTTGCGATTCGATAGCACACAATGAATTTCTGTATCTTTCCATAGACATATCGGGTTTTCCCTGTTGCAAGAAAATAATGGGAGCAGCTTGAAATGCTTGCTCCAGAACATCTCCCAGTGGTTTCTGCACCGATGGAGGCTGCGGTGAATGGCTCCCACCTAGATTATATTGGTAATTTATTGCAGGAAAAAAAAACATTCTGAATTCAACAAATGGATAAAGTTAAGAACACATAGCCTTTTTGTATGCAGACTGTTCTGAAGTTAGCTTCATCAGCACATTCTACGATTAAAAACAAAAGAACAAGTTTATAAGAACAAAGCAGAGAAACATACAGTGTTTCATTAATGACTGGACATATGCCAACTGGATAATTTTTGGCCAAAATTATGAAGATTCAACCTAAAATATTTAGACAAAATGTGTCACCTTAACGAGATTCAGATTATTTAAATTATTTTTGAATGTACACGATTTTAAAATACCTAGATACATTGTGTACGAGTATAGGTTGTATATTCACAAATTTCCAATACTATCGACATGTAACATCTAATTTCTAACTCAATTTGATTCCAAAATAATGCAATCTATCAAATAAATCAATAAAATAGATAAAAAGTTCACATATGAAAAAGTTGTAAATTTTATTCAGATGGGCGGTCCGAGATATTCTTGATTAAAATTTGAATATTTTTTTTTAATCGCAAAATCCACAATACAGGGTGTAATTTTAAGAGGGTCAGTTTTTTTAGGGGTAATAGTACGTGTTCTCCTGAATACGAATATGAAATTCTTTTTTTTAATCAAATAATCACTCGAAAAATAATTAGTTTTTTTAAATGCCCTTTAATTCTTGTGTACGGTGCCACTGTAATATTCATGTATTACAAATACTTGAATTGTAGGCAACCTAAAGTGCATGTGAAGGGAGATACTGCGGGTCAACGGTGACAAAGTGAAGGGCGTCAGTTGTTCCGCATTTGGAGACAGTACTTCTAACTGTGAATTTGAATGTTTTTCATCGCTGGAATCAACATGGACTATTTATTTTTGTGTATTTTATTTATCATTATTGATTACGGCTTGAGTTTTTTGCTAGGTTACTTATCAAGTACTGTTTGTGTGGTGTTCACATTCTTCACCCACTCAATAAAAGTAACTCGCGGCGAATGGTGTGGAATTGTGCATGCGACTAAAGCGTGCCGTTATTTGAGGTTACACTAGCTTTTCCAGTGGCAAGATATGAAAATTACTAAAAAGGTTAAAAAAAAATTATGGGGGAATTGAAAAAATTAACTACTGATTCCTTTTTTTTTTAGAGTCAAAGGAAGCCTCTGTATAAAATAAATATGACTCCCCACACAAAGTTACACTCTCTTAAAAGATAATGCTTTATTCCAAATTTCACAGTTTTGGAGACATCTGGAAAAACAACTTATATGGGTTCACCTCAGAGGAGCAGTAAATCCTTAGGAAGCATTTTTTGCCTTTGTCTAAGTTAAAAAGTTCGTTAAAGTTTATAAAGTTATTTTTAGTTATAGAATACGCTAGTAAAATATTGTGCACTCATTTGAGGAAAATTTGCATATAGGGTGTTTCCAAACTGAGTGCAAGAAATTAAGAAGGATAATCTATACAAAGATAATAATATAATGGTACAAATAGGATGTTGTACCATTTGTTCGAAAACCCAGTACTGGGCTTTTTAATTAATATTTTGCTATAACTTTCACTTTCACATTTTTTTTTGGATTTGGTACACTTATTATTGCTAAAAGCTCTTTTACATTGACAATTTATTGATCAATTAATTCATGAAGTCGCTTCATCAAGAAATTGGACAAGTGTAATACACCAAATCTGCTGTCAAATAACTTCATGAATTTATTCATCAAGTTCTTGACGAATTAGAGCATGTTCTAATTTTCATCAATTTCTTGGTGAAGTTCAGAAGTACCAACCCAACAGATTTCCAGCCTCAGATCAGTAATGAGGTTATGTTATTGGAATATGTAAATACTTGTGTGGCGTCGTACTAGTTTTGCATTGTCTTTACTGATTTGTTACTTACAAAAACTAATATTTATATAATATGTGTCAGAACGGTACCACTGTTGTATCACTACAATTATGAGTGGAAAGGTGACATTTCTGAAATTTATTTGCTTCTTTTATTCATTGGTAGAACTGATTCATACGTCAAAAAACTTGACAAAGTCTGTAGCAGTGCAAAACCACACTGTATACCAATAAATTCATGAATTAATTCATGAAGAACTTCCATCAATTTATTCACGAATAAATTGTCAATGTAAAACAGCTATAACAAACTATGAAAAAGAACTCGGCAAATTATTGTATTTCAATTTTCACAATTTTTATAAATCAATCAATATAATTAAATATATGTAGTTTGGAAAACTTTAACTACAAATCTTGTTCCATTTATACTGTAAAATAGTATATTTCAACTGTTTTTAGGCAGAACTTCATCAAAATTCTTTGTTTTATAATCAACGTGCAATGAATTTGATTTTTTTTAAGCAAAACCCATTTCAAATTTTCAATTGTCTCTGTCAAGGGTCAGTGACTACTTAACTGTCACTACAGGTGCTTCAGCAACTTGACGAATTTAAATTAAAAAAATGAATACAGCTGTGAAAGTGGGAATGATTGTTGAAACAGGCAAACTGGGAGGGAAGTAATATTTATTCATGCTTAAGAAAGCATGTTACCTGGCCAATATTTCTTCTCGACTAAATTTGTAAAACTAAGCAGAAATAAGAATTTCTTATAGGAACTTGTATCATTATTTTTAAAAACAGTCATCCCCAAAAATTTTGCACTTATTTCCAGAACACTGTACATTCATATAAAAGCAATCAATTGTGAATTTTATAATTTCTTCTAAGTTACTTTACTACCTATGTTGGGCGTGTTGGAAGATAGTTCCTTTTCTAATTTTTGCATGTATAGCAAACTTAAATCTGAGGCTAAATCAAAACACTTTACTAATTCTTCTTCTCTTTCTGCCTTTTTAAATTTGCTTGACGCCATTCCTTCCTTCTGTAAGCAAAGTCCTTTTATAGCATATGATTCAGCCACAATACGTAAACTTCGCCTAAAATAAAAATTTATATTTCCATAACTTTAATTTTTCCTTGAAAAAATTAATAATCATAATTGTGACACCATATGCATGCATGATTCAAGAAATATCAATACATCTTTGCTAAAGAAGTACCTAAAATATTTATCAAGACAAGAGAGTCTGTTTAAATGTCCACATTAATAAAAATAATAATAAATGTAAAATTTGTCAGATCTGATGGCATCGATCATAACGGCCCCTCGATCTTAATGGCCTACATAGGTGAAAACTTGTGGGCAAGCATTAGTACTTACTTTTACTGATCTCCGTAATATAGCTTATAAAACTAATACAGAAAAAAGAATTATAAAATTAATCACTGCTACTTACAGTGGAAGTTTTTTTTCAGATAAATTTTGGAGATCAGCTTGTTTGAAATGTTTTAAAGCATCACTGTATTGGCCACAAGCATACTGCAATTTGCCTAACAATAGGTGAGCATCCATTGCAACACCAGCCTAGAAATGAATAAAAATAAAAAGCTGTATATTACAATTAGACAGACAATACAAGTACATAATAAAATTTGAAATACCTTAATACCAGCCTCTGCAATTACTAAATTAAGGTATCGTTTAGCATCAATCAGTCCAAGTTTTGCTCTGTTCATATTTGCTTCGATAGGTGGCCATTCTTCTAAAAAGTTTTCCAATTTACCTTCACCAATAAGAAAATCAGAAAGACAAACTAAAAAAATGATGGTAATTATTTGCAAATGATAGTAGATATATAAAATTAGATTTACCAAGTTCAGGAGACTTATCTTTCAACTGTTCTGCTAATTCTATAACTTTAATCCAATTTGACTCTTCTCTGTTTTTTTCTATTTCTGTTTCTATTCTAGGTGTACCTGATTTAACCCTGCCAGTCATTTTTAATAATTTAGTGTTTAATTGCTTAAATAGTTTCTACTTAGTTAATCAACAGAAACCCACATAACCTCTCATAATTTACAAAATTTAATTTACTTATCAGTTGACAGTTGTCACTTGTAACTTCAAAGTTCAAAGTCTTATTCTTCTTCTGCAGATTAACTCAAAATACTTAAGGCTATTTCGGGTAAGCTTAGCTGCATACCAGCGTTGAATTTTCTCACTCAACGATACCAGTGACGTAATTCTCTGTTTTTTTTTTATTCGCAGCGTTCGAAAGTGGCGATAGGTTTCGTTAAATTTCAACGGTTAAAACAAACATATTCAGACTTTCAGAACAGAGAACTTTAAAAGGAGTAATTTTACTACGATAATGTAGATTGAATATTGATTAAATATGTTTTTTTATATATTTTTTAATTGTATTTAGTAGATTATCTCAAGGCTTATTGCATTGTTTAGACAGTGAAAATGCGTCCCATTCTCATATACTGAATGGCCTGAGTCAAATAAATAAATATTAGGAAGTAAATATATACCTATTCAACAAACAAAATTAAAATAGGTATTATTTATTTAAACCAATAAAAGTTGGAAATGCCATCCATCAGCCTCTTGGCGATAAACAAACATATGAATACATTTTTCTCGTATATTGCGATTGACCTCTGGCCCTGGACTAATTCTTCTAATTTCAAAATAATCGAGGGGTGTAAGATCTGGACTTTGAGGTGGCCACTCTATGGATCCTCGTCTACTAATCCACTTCCCAGGAAAACAGTTGTCTAAATACTCGCGAACAGGACGTGCAATATTTTCGTTAATTTTAGGGCGTCAAGCATTTGTTATGTGTTTAACATGTCCAGTTTCTCCAAATTTGTTCTCGATCTTACTAACTGTAAATCAACTGATATGTCTGCCAAATTACATAGGTACCTCCTGCTGAGTTCTCGTTTTATCTCCGCATTCAACAAGGATTAAAATTTCTATGCTTTTTGTTTCACTTAAATGAGCTGTAACCGACTATACAGGGTATCTTTACTTAGAATAAGTTGTATGTCGACCAGGACGAAATGTAGAAAACTAACAGTTCTTAAAGTCTGATTAACATCTCTACAAAACAGCAGAAAATCTACGTTTTTCCATGCCTTCTGTTTATTGATCACTCTTATTGGTTACATCTCCGTTATTATTATTAAAGATAGACCCATCAATTTCTACGTTATTGTATTCGTGAGACGTTTTATCTGCAGAAATATATAGGGTGTTCCATTTAAAAAAACATTTGTTTTTCGTACAGCTTTTTACAATCACCCTGTAGAAAATCGGACGAACGCTAAAAACGCCAAAAAAAAACAAAATAATTTAATTTACAACTGTTATTTGTTTATTCTTTAAACTTTTTTCCTTGTCGTCTGTTTATTGAGCACTCTTGGTTATATCTCTATTATTATTAAGGATAGACCCATCAATATCTACATTGTTGAGTTCGTGATACATCGTTCTATTCAAATTTGTAGAAATATACAGGGTGTTCCGTTAAAAAAATAATTTTCTTTTCGTGCAGCTTTTTAGAATCACTCTGTAGAAAATCCGATGTACTCATAAACGGCAAAAAACAAAATAAATTCGACCTATCCCGGCGTTTTTATAACAAAAATTATTACAGTTTTATTTAATTTGTTCTTTAGCCCTCGTTATTTTTTATTTATACGGTGCCACAAGTTATGTCGAAATCGATGAATATAATTTCTTGAAGTAATAGAGGTAAGTGGGTGTATACTTATACCGTACTTTCTGTGAAAACAGAGAAAATTTAAAGAAATTCTAATTCTAATATCATTCTTGAATTTGTCATACTTAAGTAAAGACTTATCTAATGTTTATCATATTACTGATTTTCTTTCATCTAGCAACGTAAAAAAGGCATACGATTTTTGAAACTATACATAGGTAAAATTACTTTGGTACGCAGATTAGTTGTTTACCACAATATCATCAGCAAAAAATTAGTTTGTATTGAAATTTTTGGTCTCAACTCAAACTTGATTACGTTCGAGAATGAGATTATTTGGAACTATTATAAATTTTGGAAATACCTATATTTGTTTATTAAAAGATTGTTATACTTAATAATAAATTTAAATGTAATCCTACAAGCGAGCCACGGTTCCCTGAGCACAAATTTTGATTTTCGTTACTCGATATAAATACTAACTCGTAAATTTTTCACTAAAAGAGAAATTATTTTTTTAGCGGCTTCTATTTTGGCTGCTAATGTTTTTTAGATAAAGAGTCCTTCGCCTTGTATGAACTTTATTATACTTTTTATGCTTTACACTTTATGTGATGTGTGAGAAGTCGACAAGGTGACAGTTTAATTTATTTTTTTTATGTGGCAGTCACAGTAATGAGATACATTGTATAAAAATGTAGAATTTGGGCTGGCGTTTATTAAAAATGAAATGTGACGGTACTAATAAATACAAATACACTCGTGTGGTAGTTGGCAACTTCATTTCAATAATGAAAGAATTTTATTTTTATTCATATTAATTTTGACATTAGTAGTCGTAGAAAATAATGTTTAGGGGAAGTTGAATAAATTTAAACGCATATTTAAATTTGGTTTTATATTAAAACACTACATACATTTCGTTGATATACTTAGTTTTAGTTATTTACATAGTTCGGTGTTATATATAAAAAAAAAAACAGGAAAAATTAGTATTAGTTCCAAATGTTTGTAACAATGCACACCCAAAAATTTTAATTTTTACAATTTTTTTTTCAGTAAACAACAACAGAAAAATATTTTCCAATAAACAATGCTCCAATATATCCATATTTTATCAAATAATTATGCTGAATATATCTGGGAAACATGTATTTATATGTTTAGTGTTTAGTCAGATATTTCTTATGCATTAATCCGACATTGGACATTTTGCCGCATTAGAGGACCAATTAATTACTTATTATTATTATTGATTGGATATGTCGTTTTATGTGATATCTTATTTTTGATGAAATGTATTTGTTTAAAAATATTTATGGCTGTAGGTACAAATGATAATGACATCTAAAGCCGAACATGTAATACGGGTAATAAAAAATTATTCACAAGTTTATAGACACATTTTTCAAATATTAGAATTACATATCTTTATATTAGTAATTTTGATTACTGTGTATATTTAATACCTACCATCAATTAAATCAAATCCCATATAAGCTTTTGTACTAAGCTAAAAAATGTTACTTTTTGCTTATCAAATCCTTATAAAACTGAGGAACCTTGCTTGGCACCTTTTAGGGGAAACTGGAATAACTTCCAGTCTAATATGTATTGAGATCTTCAGTTTGCAATTTTAGAAAAAGGAGATAACGGTAGTTGTTTAGTTTGATATTTTTTGCTAAACTGAAATAAATTTATTAAGGATTCTCCTGCCAGACATCTAAATTTTTGTGTATCTTTTTAGGGTCCCTCGTATTTCCCATTACCAAGGTGATAGACAAAAATAATTAATTAAAATGGCTCTATTTTTGGGAAAAATTGAATGACGAAAACCGCATCTGGATTTATATCTCGATTCGTTGATACATATACTTTTGTTTAGTTTCACTGATTTTTGTGATATTACATTTCATATTTGTTGAAAACTTCTCTGATTTTTCTTCAGTTCTTTTTGTTTAGAATTCAATAGCGTACTTACGTGATAATTTTTTATAGTTTCCGTTTTTTCCTTAACTTCCTATTTTTAAGTTATAATAGCCCAAACTTATAGGATACATTTTTCGATTTTTTGGAATCTGCGTAAAATTTCCTATCAAATGATGTTATAAAAACCTATGGGTTTTTAAACAAAAAAACCCAAAACTCTGATGATAGAATTGAGGTAATTTTTTTCGATAGGTATAGGTATATGGGTACATTATACCTACATTAGATATACCATTAGATACGAGTTTTCTGTAAAAATCTGATATACCAATAGGTAGGTATAACATTAAATTTGGCTGATAGCAAAACTAATGTGCCTTTTTCATTGACATTATTTTGTTTAAGTATGTAGTCGAGAGCAACTAAGCATTCCATCATTTATCCACATCCGTGCGATGGTCATATTTATTTACCTCTTAAAATAATTTTGAAGAATAATAAAGAAAAGAACAACCAAACGTAAAATTCTTATAATAAATATGAACACTTACTTATCTAACTGGCCATATTATATTTTTTTATTGTATAAAAATATAATATTAGCAATTTCCGTGACATCTTTTCGAACAGCGGTTTCCTCTGTGGAATAAAAAAAGTTTTAAGAACGGGTTGGGTAATGTGTGAATAAATTTATCAAAGGGGTGTGCACCTTATAGGAGTGGTCATGTAACTAGGATTAATTATATAAAAAAATCAATATTGGAGCCTTATACGAGGCTTCTGTATCTTGTAAAATAAAATCGTTTCTAAATTTATCCTTGGATGTTTTGTGATCCTTTTTAGTGATGCAGTTCTAATTACCACAAGTTCGCCAGTTTTCTAGGCGTCGCACCGGACTGCGACTGCCGCACCTGCACAACAGCAAGAGGCGTCCCGAAGACGACGCACCGCGCCGTTAGTTAAACAGCGCGCGAAAGGCTAGCCCGTTGACTGTTTGACGCATTGCAGGTACGTGTTGGCCAATGGGGAAGCTTTACTGTACGAGAATACGTTGTAAACAAGCCGCACCCGACGTTTAAACTTCATATAACATACGCGGTGAAAACTAGTTCCAAGTTTTTACACGATTATTCCAATTTTTTTCTGTTTTAACGATTATTGATATATGTAAATAGAGGCGAAACTGCGATTAGAAGGTTGCATTGTTACAAAAGAGTTAATATTCAACAATGCGATTGTGTTGTCCGGGTGTAGGAATATTTACTGGTTTATGTCGAAGCCGCACTATTGCGCTTTGGCGGTAGTGGTTTCGCAGCAGCAATCGTCCCTCCCCTCTATCTTCGTTCCTAAACAAAACGAGAAAAGACAGTTGGCTGGTGCACTTTGACGTGTAACGTTGCGAGAGACTTGGTAGTGTCGACATTATTTCGTTTAGTGTACCGTTAAATCTTAAAATATCGTAATGGTAAGCGAGTTTTTTTAATCATCAAATATGTAAAACGTACTACAAATATTCGCGGATTGCTTTAAACAATGTATTTTCTGGGAAAACTTGGATTCTTAGTTTGTAAATAGCTGTCAAATAGGACGTTAAGATACGAACCGGTGTATTATTGTGCCGCAATGCGGATCTTGCTCCTGTAATACAGATTTTTTGTTAATTTGATTAATTACACAAATTTTTTCAGTATCAATCTGCGGTTATTAAATACTGTGAAAAATGTATTGATCTGTTGCATACGTGGGGTGTTTACTTTGTGCGAAACAAATCAAATTGGATTAAGTGTAATAGTATGGACATCAGTTGTTATAATATTTCCTTTTTAGGCTGACCAACTCACAGAAGAACAGATCGCCGAATTCAAAGAGGCTTTTTCATTGTTCGATAAGGATGGAGATGGTACAATTACTACTAAAGAATTAGGAACTGTAATGAGATCGTTAGGACAAAATCCTACAGAGGCAGAATTACAGGATATGATCAATGAAGTTGATGCTGATGGTAAGTAAATAATTAAGTCAGTTCGGCAAAGTAATTAACTATCTGGTTAAATTTTCAGACTAATTTGCATTAATTACATTACTACTAATATCATAAAATTAACTTGCAACATAGAAAAGATTTTAAATACTGATTGGGTTTTGATAGGGCGCCATGCAAACATTGAATCTATTGAATAGTAGCTGTCGAAACGTGTAAACATTTTATTTCTAGGTTAATACTAAACGCAATATATTAAGTATTCTATTATTTATTCAATTTTTGTTATCAGAAAATAAATACCTAACATGTATTCAATTTTTGTGAAAAACTCGGATATTTTTCCTTAAAAAATTAGGTATTTGATAGCTAATCACGTAGAATTACTAAAATATTTAGTGTTACTGGTTGCCTATTGTTGTCACAGCCTTATCACAAATAATTTTATAAGTTTAGTAACGAACTTAAGTGAGTCATGTTTCTTAGTTTAATGATGACAAATTTTTAAGTTTTGCACATGTTGGTTTTATTATAGTGTTTATCGATTTTTTTATCAGTATATTATCTGTTTTGCCAGAAATAATGATGTAATATTTTAAAAATCAGATTTAAGCTTTTGATAAGATAACATTAATTGCACTTTTGATATGATAGCATTGTATTCTTATTAATTTCCAATAAGTATCAAGATTTAAAAGAAAATAAAATTACCAGCGTACATATTTTTGAAGCTTATAGTGATAGGTTTTTATATTTGTCTCCAAATTAAAAGAAAAAGAAATGCTCAAAATCGCGACACAAGTAAATTAAATTATGCATCGAGATATGTTTTACATTTAATTTTCAGAAGGTATAAAAAATACAGTTATTGTCTTATAAAAGTTCGGTAAAAAAAATTGGTTATCCAGTTAATTTCGTATTATTATACTAACAGCTGTTGCATTTACTTAGTACTCATATTATGTATATAATCACATTTGAATGTTTATTGATTAATGTAGACATTCATTCTCCATAAAATGTTTCATGCAAATGTAAATTAACTAATTACATACATGAATTTAATATTGTATATCGGGGTAAATCGGTGTACTTACATATTATTTTCTTAGGCCGCAAGAAAAACTTAAAAAACATTAATTTTGCAGATAATAATAATATCCATCAAGTGTAACGTTTTTTTTTTTTTTTTATTGAAACGAGTACCTATGGCACAATGTGGTAATGACGTGAAATTTTTTTAAGTAGGTATTATGAGTCGGTTTAGGCTAGTTTCCGAAATTGTGTGATTTACTGCGTTTTAAAGTAGTTAGAAAAATAATTCTTGCAATTATGTTTTGCCTCTGCACATCACACATATTTGCATGACATATTAAATTAAGTTGACCATGGAAATGTTACACGTCTGGGAAATTGTAATTAAAATTATTAATTGTCCAAAATTCCAGAACTGTATACAGTTTTTAATTATCCATTTGCCAGTTTTCGCACTTTCTCTAGTAAGTCGTGAAGGCAAAATATTCGTTAATATTTGGAATTAATAAAATAAACATCTGGAATTTTTTCTTGCCAATAAATTGTTACCTAATATATCTATTAACCGGTCACTTTCATATTTTTTATAGTTATATAAACTCTAATTTATTTAGATAATGTGCATTTCTAATTTGCGTTTGTATTGTTTCAAATAACTGCGATAAATTAGCCTAAAAATTTTGAAAAAAATAAGTTTTCTGTACCTACTTACTCACTTTTGAGTAGGTATATTAGAAACGTTTACTGAAACTTGTTCAAGACTTCTGAAACATATTCCTTTGCTTAACAGTAAGTGCAATTTAGGAATTTGTTAGCGTACCCATCATAAAATAATTCTGCGTAGAGTATATTGTCATGATAACAACTATTTCAGTTAATCTACATTATAAATTTTAATTAACTATTCATTTAACTTACATCATTTCATGTTTATATATGTACCACATTTGGAAGGTCGTCTTGTTTAAATATTAAACATCCTGAAAAATTTCATAAAATCGACGATTGATGATAATTATGATCATAAGATCATAATTATGGGTTTTCTGTAACCAAGATTCAGATTGCTACCATTTTTATAACTTAAATGATGGATTTATAAATAACTATTTAAGATCCCGTTTTTGGGATGATCATTCGTAAAAATAGCGAAAATTTACGGTACAAGTATACAATTTTTATAATTTTAGCTTGTACCGTACGATTAAAAAATTATTCAAATTTTGAATGACAAATAATAGGACATGCTCTTTGTTTATCCAAACATGCGCATTACTAATTATGTTAACACTGAATGTAACTAAGAAATCAGATTATTATGTACTGCAGGCTCCAAGAAGTTTTCGGTAAAACGCATTTTGTATTGTTTTGCTGTTAACTTTTTAATTTTTTTAAATAATTATAAAGTCGAAAAAAATCTAACCGTTTCTATTATTTGGTTCGTCAATTGAATAATTCACGTTTTTTAAACTCGATTTCGTATATTTCTACAGCAAATGATTATACTTTTGTATCAGCAAATTTGCAAAGAAATTAAGTACATTGAATTTTTGTGTGTAAATTGTTGTCGTATCGTATGGGCTTTAGATCTAATTTTAAAGGGAATAATCCAAAAAAACATTTGGATAATAGGTAAATCAGACTCTCTGAATACACAACCTTTATAAATGAATACAAGCCACGTGACCGATGAGCTTAGGCAACCCAACATTGCACGACTGGTACTGTCAACTAAAAATCCCTGAATCTTAGCGTCATCAATATTAATGATGCGTTTACAATGAACAGTGGCAAACAGTTGCGTCTACGCTTGAGGTGATGTGATCGTTGATTCATTGAATAAAATTTCGTGAAACAAAATGTTGTAGTTTAATGTATTCTTGATCTTACTGTTAAATAATTTATAATTTTACCAAAATTGAATTGTCAACGTGAAGGGAATAAATTACTGCTTGAAACAAAATTACTGGTCACGTGGCTTGTAAACATTTATGTTTTGCGGGATTCAATTTTTGCTTTTGGTGTAATCATTTTTTTGTAATAGAATCTTAGATTAATTATATGCAAACAGCAAGAACGTCTGTTGGTATAAAATTTCGCCAAGAAGTGGAGCGTCTTCATTTTGTTTAAATTGCGAGTTCTTTCCGCGACGTCGCTATTTACCATCCGCACGGTTCTGAATATTAATGAGGACAAAGACCAAAGAGGGAATTTTGTCACGAATAATAAAACCAATTTCATTTGACTTTGAAATGTCTGGAGACAGCATACGATAATATTGACAGTGTGAAAAATGTTCTCGGGAAGGGGTGGCATGTTTGCTTTGCTAATTAACGGCGGTTTATTATTTGTTGATTTTTGGGTTCATCTAATACTGTGTTATGAAGCAAATTGTCTTAGTCTTTAAAATGTTTCAGGTTTACGATACAAACCGATTTCAGACATAAAAGTCATATTGATATTTTTCGTCTTCAGTTCAATAGAATAGAAAAAAATAAATTGGTCTTCTAAACCACTGCACGGTAGGTACGTCGAGGATTTTATTATTGTAATAGTGACAAATATCAATAAAACCCCACTTACCTTTACTATAAACTTGGGGAAAATTTTCTAATTGAGGAATATATTTCGAAAGGAAATATATTCCGGAAGGAGATAACTATTCTCAATTTTCTAATTTCCTACCAATATTTTATGGACGATAAATAATCATGCATACATCTCGAGTTTTATTATAAAATAAATATAATTAAATTATATGTACAGTTCCACTTATTTTGTCTGGCTCGTGAATGCGCAAACGTGAGAAAGAGCTCACTAAATGCAAACAAAAGTTCAATCGGGAGAGAAAGCGAAAATGGGTAGAACCCTTGATATATCACAGGCAACTTTTAAATGCTGTATTATTTGCATAAATATATATGCATGTATTTATTATTTCTCTGCTTTGGGAATTAAAATTTTTTTTTTTTAAACTTTTTATGTGGGTTCCCCATTATTTTTTACGAGAATGTAGGTACTTTATAAATGCTGAAACGAAATGAGCTCCTAGGACCGCCCTACTTTCATCGACGAGATGAAATAAGTTTTTATCTGTAATTAGTCAATACTTTTCTTAATTTAGTTATGATTAGGGAAGATGGTTATATGCCATTCTACTATACTAGCGGAGAGATTGCCTACAAGTGCAGCTGAGCTACGGTTGTCTGGCAGCCGGAATCAAACCTACGGTTTCTACAATAACAATTCGTTATTAAAGAATTATGAAGTTGATGGAATCCCTAAAAATTATCTCGACGTCGCTGCTGTTACATCCTGTGAATACGTATTAATTTAATTGGGGTAGGCTAGGCAATATTTAGCATGTTTATATTTTCATTTTATTAACCATATTAAAATGTAATTTATGTATACAAAAGTCTTGTGATTCTAATGCGTACCTATCAGAAGAAAATTGCCCAAGGCCATTTTTGATATGAAAGAGTTTATCTTGAGCGGATATCGTAAACTTATTTTCCTTGTGACGATAATTATAATTGAACGTTTGATAGTGTAAGTATACGTTAATATTTTAAAAATGTCATTAGTTTTGTAAAATTAATTTTTTTTTTGAGTTGTGTTTGGATTAAATTACTTTAAAACCTCAATTCCGTAAAATCAATTCTTTTCTTGAGTCGTGTTTGGATTAAATTAGTTTAAAATCTCAATTCCGTTTTTCTGTTGTTGTAAGTACTGCACTATATTTGAGTATATTTACAATATACGCTCAACTCATGTTCACATTAAATGTTTTTTTTTTTGATAAACTGAGTTTGTCACAAGTATGTAAGTGTAAGTAATAACTGCGTTTATTTTTCTTGGTCCCACAACACATAATTTCGTAGTTTCGAACATCTGCATTTGTTTTTTAAGTAGTTTTGCGTCATCTATTAAGGCCATTGCAAAGATTTAATAGTTACGGTATTTGTACCATTTTGATTATATAT